AATAAACTTTTTCTCCTACTTGTTTCTTGTGTATCGTTGGATAACTGAATCTGGCACATCAGCCTGCGAATTATGATAGTTGTGTTTGCTTGTTTATTGCTTCCTATTGCCGCATTCAACTGTTGGTATAGCGGAGATTTATCGGAACGTATACCCTGGAGATCATCGAGGGTGAAAGGCCCACTGTTAAGGCTCTAACGCTTGAAGCACCTGAGAACATACATGAGAAGAACATAGATTATTTTTCATTGTACATGTGACTGTGGCGGACCTGATTATAAACTCTACAAAACGGTTCAAGCGTTCGGGCGGGTTCGAATCCCCACATGGGTGAAATGTGTGAAGCCCATTTCTGGTGTCCCCCGCCGTGATGTTGCTGGAATATTGCTAAAAGCTGCGTAAAACCAAACTCAGTCAGTCAGTCAAGCGTTCGCTCGTCACGCTGAAGGCCCGGGTACTATTCCCCACATGGATAAAATGTGTAAATCCCATTTCTGGTATCCACCGCCGTGATTCTGCTGGAATATTGCTAAAAGCGGGGAGATTTACATCTTCAAAATGAATACAAGATTACTGCTTGGTCGGAAAAATAAATTATTTCAGTTTTTGTTTCACTATTTCTTCAACCTGTCACCCCTACATTGCGAAATGGCATGTCGCACTTTTTTCCAAGACATGAGTACAAACAGTGGACATTTGCATCAAGTTGGGATAAAGTCAAACCAATTATCGTTTTATATTACATAATTGTAGCTGCATTGTTATAGTTTTGTTATTCATACATAGTCGTAGTTACATTCTTGTAGTTAGGTTCTAGTTACATTCTTGTTGTCACATGTTTGTAATTAGATTGTTTTTACATTGTTGTAGTTATATGGTCGTAGTTAGGTTGTTGTTTCACAGCTACAGTTATATGGTGGTAATTAGGTTGTTTTAGGTAGTTGTAGTTACATTGTCATGGTTACGTTGTGGTTACATAGTTGTAGTTACCTGGTTGTAGTTTTGTTGTTCATACAGAGTTGTTACATAGTTGTAGTTACCTGGTTGTGGCTTTGTTGTTCATACATAGTTGTTACCTAATTGTAGTTACATGGTTGTAGTTTTATTGTTCATACAGAGCTGTTACATAGTTGTAGTTATATGGTCGTAGTTACGTTGTTCTTACAAAGTTGTAGGTATGTGTTCGTAGTTAGGTTCTTGTTATACAGTTGTAGCTACATAGTTGTAGTTTTGTTGCTTATACATATACCCTTCAAGAAAAGAAACTATACACAGGACAATTTTGAATTTTAGGAACATATTTGACACAAACCAATCCATGCTGAATCCCAAAATGTGGGGGAATGGTTGCCGACGATAAAACGTTTGTAAAAAGAAACGTTGAGCAAAAACGTAGCGAATCTCTAAAACGCACATACATGAAATGCACGTGCATCATAACAAATTGTGTATCATCTTGAGCTGAATTCTTTGACTATAGGCTTTAAAAAGCCACATCAATGGTACTCCACATGCATTGCTGTAAGCCACTATAGACGACAAGAGAATGAAAAGACTGACAGAAGCTCAACGACACAACACCATCGGCCGTTTTTAAGGACGGGCATCGCAGCATGAGGTGGAAGGCACTTCAGCGTGTCCAGACAGACCTATGGACCTGGTACAACAAATTATGTTTGTATTAATGACAGACCCAGGTTAGGTCGACCTAGAGTTACCACCGCCCCCCAGGATCGCTACATCCGGTTGAGACATCTTAGTTCAAACACCACGGCCGCATCATCCACAACAATAACAATCCTTGGACTGAGCCGAATCTCTGACCACAAAGTGCGCAATTGGCTATGGGAAGCAGACTTTTTCGTCACGTCGTTCCCTTCACCAATGTCAACGGTTGATCTTTGGAACATTACAATGCTCGACCTCACGTTGCACTTGTTTGACAGGACTTCCTCCAGGCAAAACAATGTTCAGGTGTTACCTTGGCCTTCTCGATCACCCGATTTGTCGCCAATTGAACATCTATGGGGTACTCTTGGTCAACGCTTGCACCAGTGTAATCCGCCACCTCAGACACTACAAGAACTGCACACAGCACTTCAGCAAGAGTATCAAAACATTAGGTTACTGTTACATAATAGTAGTTACTTGGTTGTAGTTAAGTGGTTGTTACATAATAGTAGTTATAGGTCGTAGTTAGGTGGTTGTTACATAACAGTAGTTACATGGTTGTAGTTAGATTGTTGTTACATAACAGTAGTTACATAGTTGTAGTTAGGTGGTTGTTACATAATAGTAGTTACATGGTTGTAGTTAGGTTGTTGTTACATAATAGTAGTTACATGGTTGTTGTTACATAATAGTAGTTACATGGTTGTAGTTAGGTTGTTGTTACATAATAGTAGTTACATGGTTGTAGTACATTGGTTAGTAGTAGTTACATGGTTGTAGTTAGGTTGTTGTTACATAATAGTAGTTACATGGTTTAGTTGTAGGTTGTTGTTACATAATAGTAGTTACATGGTTGTAGTTAGGTTGTTGTTACATAATAGTATGGTTGTAGTTGTTGTTACATGGTTACATAATAGTAGTTACATGGTTGGTTGAGGTTGTTGTTACATAATAGTAGTTACATGGTTGTAGTGAGGTTGTTGTTACATAATAGTAGTTACATGGTTGTAGTGAGGTTGTTGTTACATAATAGTAGTTACATGGTTGTAGTGAGGTTGTTGTTACATAATAGTAGTTACAGTGAGGTTAAGTTACATGGTAGGTTGTTGTTACATAATAGTAGTTACATGGTTGTGTGTTGTAGGTTGTTGTTACATGGTTGTATAGGTTGTTGTTACATAGTAGTAGTTACATGAGGTTGTTGTTACATAATAGTAGTTACATGGTTGTAGTTAGGTTGTTGTTAGGTTGTTGTTACATAATAGTAGTTACATGGTTGTAGTTAGGTTACATAACATAACAGTTGTTACATAATAGTAGTTACATATAGTAGTTACATGGTTGTAGTTAGGTTGTTGTTACATAATAGTAGTTACATGGTTGTAGTGAGGTTGTTGTTACATAATAGTTAGGTTGTTGTTACATAATAGTAGTTACATGGTTGTAGTGAGGTTGTTGTTACATAATGGTAGTTACATGGTTGCAGTGAGGTTGTTGTTACATAATAGTAGTTACATGGTTGTAGTGAGGTTGTTGTTACATAATAGTAGTTACATGGTTGTAGTGAGGTTGTTGTTACATAATAGTAGTTACATGGTTGTAGTGAGGTTGTTCAAACTGAAACATGAGTCTCATTAACCCATTCAGGCAATGACCTACTTTTCAGCCGATCCGAATTTTCTCGTGTGAAAGTGAAAATAGACATCACAAACAACTATGGTTACACTGAATTCCAATTCCTTGTTTCATAAGAAAATGGTATTTACAAATACATTTTAAACTTTAATAACATCGTATTTCTATATTTTATGGCGAGGTGTAGGCAGCATGACCTTAACTAAGACGTCACAGACCGCCCCTGTTTGATGAGGTCGTAAAATGATTCACAATGCATCTGGCTCACTGGTTACACCTGTTATGATGTGTTTTTATGCGCTCATTCTGTATAGTTCTGTAACGCACAATGTGATTGATATAATATCAAGTCCGTACCAGACCGCCAAACTTTTCTAGCGGCAAAGCCTCGTTTTGAGATTTCCACGATTTCCAGGTTTCCGTTTGTCAGAGCTCGGATTAGAAGGAGCATAGTGTTGCAATATACAAGTGCTTAGATGTATCAAATAATACTGATTAATATTCATGTATCCAGTTAAATGAATTGGTCTCAAAATTCTGGACTTGTTACTGTACTAAGTTGCGCAATAGGACGGAACCCAATCAACAGGAAACGAGACTGTTTGACTAATCAATGTTTTGACTTGTTACATAATTGTAGGTACATAGTTGTAGTTTTGTTGTTCATGCAAACTTGTAGTTATATGGTCGTAGTTAGGTTGTTGTTACATAGTCTTAGTCACATAGTAGTGGTTAGGTTCTTCATAAAATGATAGTGTTAGTTTTACATGGTTGTAATTGTAACAAGGCTGTAGTTACATAGTTGTAGTTGGGTTGAAGTTGTAAAGTTGTAGTTACTGTGCAATAGTTACATGGTTGTAATTACAAAGGTATTGTAACAATTAATTGTTACAATCGTTTTAATTGCATAGTTGTAGCTACGTGGCTGTAGTTACATTGTTGTATTTACAGTGCAGAAGTTACAGAGTTGAGTGAGAATAGCAGTTACAGAGTTGAGTGAGAATAGCAGTTACAGAGTTGAAATTACACAGTGGAGGTTGAAGGATACGGTCACATGGGAGCACTTACATGGTTGTAATGACAGGGCAGTAATCAAAGGGTTGCAGTTGCGTGTTTGTATTTACAGGGCAGTAGTCATGTGGTACAAAGTCTATGTAGACTAACATTTGATCTCTGAAATATATTTTACAGAAAAACAACGGTTCCTAAACTACATTCTTAGTGAGTGAGTTTAGTTTTACGCCGCTTTAGCAATATTCCAGCAATCACGGCGGGTGACACCAGAAATAGGCTTCATACATTGTACCCATGTGGGGAATCGAACCCGGGTCTTCGCGTGACGAGCGAACGCTTTAACCACTTGGCTACCCAACCGCCCCAGATATATTCTTAAAATATAATACAAAGGAGCCCACAGACCTTCTTCATTAACTGTGGTAATCTAGACTTGCCATATATTATAAACTTGCATGGGCTGTATTGGGAATATTTGTTTCATGGTCGTGTCTGACAGACAAATAGGCCATAATGATTGCAGATTTGGAGGTACAAGAATGAAGTTACAACAATTTGTAACTATTTGCCCAATCAAACGGGGCAATTTTGTAAAGGGCATGGCTTAGTCCTGCTTCTCCCGCTGACATAAACGCTCGCTGAGCGAACTGTGTCAGAGTCAGCATTTGTTTGTCCGCCTGTTTACCGACTTCGCACATCCGTGGTTGTTCGGCGTACACTCGATACTATCCCAGAGAAGTGTCGACTACCACGCATTGTTGCTGTTTCAGGTTTGTTATAAATTAACTGTCATTAATGATGCTTACTTACTTTTCTTTACTCAATTCTCTTTGTCTCTTTTGGGGCATGGGGCTGCAACAAACTCTCTCCGTTTGTTCCTGTCTTGTACTTCTCCTACTGTTGTTCCCACCTCGTCTAACTCAGAAGTTATTGCCCTTGGCCATGTTGTTCTTGGTCTTCCTCGTTTTAATCTTTCCTGTTGGTGTCCACTTCAGTGCCTTTCTAGGAATAGAGTCTGGACTCCTTCTGAAGACGTGCCCAAGCCATTAATGGTGCTACTGCCATGTATGTATTTCATGTTATTCACAATTCCCTATGTGAGTTTCCTGAATATACGGTCAACAACCAATTTTCTGTGAGTAAATGTTTAGTGCCCTAAACAGTGATTGCAATATCGTGGTTACAAGGCTGTTTGTTATGTATGGTAGTTAAAAAGTGGTCGTTATAGATTAGTATTTATCTGTTGATGTATACTAACGGTAAATGACATAATATAACATTGCATAAAATATAACTTATTTGAAAAGTTATGAAAATAACCCTAAAAACATGTAGCAAATCACTTTGCATGAAACTTGATGTCACGTATTGCGCGTGGCACGTGCACTTTGTGCACAATGAACCTTACTCACTTTTTTCATGCGTTTTGACACCTGAAGTTCACACACCTGATATTGGAAATTGAAGAACGGTTGATTATTCTCTTGCCTCTGAATGCTGTGGAAAACATGTTAATTTCAGCGTAAACCGCGCGTACGTCATGCCACGGCTTACAGAAAATCAGCGTCTCCACGCCGTGGGTATGCTGGGGACTGGAACGGCCTAAAATGAAGTGACCAGACATTTGGTGTCCATCGAAAAACGAAAAGTGTATATGGAGAAGTTTTCAACATAATGGGAACACGAGAGATTTGCCTCGGACCGGCCGTCCCCGCGTGGCGTCTCGTCGACTAGACAACAGTATAAGCAATCGATTCCGGACTGCTAGTTTGACGGCTCAGACCATTCCTGGCTAACGTCCAATAAGTTCCAGGTCTGTACGAAACCGACTGAGGGAGCACAACATCCGGCCCGACGGCCTCCAATTTTTCCAACGTCACCGACAGGCACATCTGAACTAGTGCAGACAGCACCTATGGTACAGAGGACAAATTGGGGTGATGTGTTGTTCAATGACGAGTCGAGATATCATCTGGACAGCTCAGATTGCAGGGTAAGGGTGCACAGACAGCGAGGTGAACGGTATGCTGACGCATGCGTTGTTCAACGTCGACAGTTTGGTGGCGACAGCGTTATGGTAGAGGGGGGAGGGGCTCACATCCCATGGTAGGACAGGTCTGCGTTATAGGGATGAGTTTATTGGACCACATGTGCAGCCTTTCATTCAAGGACACAGTCGTAACTTCACTCTTCAGCAAGATAATGCCCGCCCACATCTTGCTCGTCTATTGACAGATTTCTTGAGCTTGCAGAACATTCCGGTACTCCCCTGGCCAGTTGTTTCTCCAGACCAGTCCCCTATTGAGCACACATGGGGTGAAATGGAGAGACGTTTACATCAAGTCCAGAATCAGCCATTGACGTTAACTGACTTGGGACAAGCGTTGGTTCAGACATGGCACGTTCCCCAAGCTTTCTTCAATCGCTTAGTCACGCCTATGTGTCGTCGGTGTCAAGCCTGCATCAACGCAGTGGACACACACGGCACTAAATTAATAAACGCAGTTTAGACACCACATGTCTTCAAGGGTGTGTCACGATGCTTTGTGTCAAATCATACTGAGTTTGATATTATCCTGTCAACAGTTAATCAGTGATTAAGGAAAATACCACAAATCATGTCAATATATTTTTGCACTGAAATATGGCATAACATCAAATAATGCACAGTTACTTTATTCCAATCGTATAAGTACAGGGTCGCCATTACGGAGTGACAGTTACATTGAATATTTACTATTTGCACAATTCAACAGCTTGTGAGTTTCGTATACATAATCTGTAACATGGCTCCTTTAGCTGCCGGTGTCGTTATTTTATAACAGAGTCGATGTCCGGTATAACATCATTATTTCGCTTTGTACCTGTGTTGTTGTGACGGCGTTGATGGCACCCAACAGCACCAACGTGGCCATCAGCTACAACGTGTACTGTCATGTTTAAGTACCGACTGGGGCGGTGGGGTAACCTAGTGGTTAAAGCATTCGCTCGTCACACCAAGGACCCGGGTACGATTATACACATGGAAGCAATGTGTGAAACCCATTTCTGGTGTCCCCCGCCGCCATGATAGTGTGGGAATATTGTTAAAAGCGGCGTAAAACTATACTCACTCACTCATGTACTGACTGACACGAGTGTCTACCCTATATTCCCCCAGTGGCGGTTTTCCTATCTGCGTCTAGTTTTAGTACTGTGTTAAGCATCACTGGTAGACTTTGAACTTATGAGAATGAGTGAGTAAGTGAGTTAACATTTAGCGTGACATCGGCAATATTTCATATCGTGACGAAAATTTGAATCTAAAGACTAACTACATAAGGACAGTAGAATAACTAGATTATCACAGTTATAAGTTAAAACTAACTGATAACATTTAAAAGAAGAGATAATAAACAACAACACATCATACAAATGGGCTATAGATCGCCAACAACTGAAGGTAAATCACCATACCAGGGACCATGGGAACTTACAGTACTTTTGCTGCCTGCATGGGTCCTAGTTGGATGTATACCGTCCCTTCAACCACTGACGATTGTACTGAGATTTAGCCATTGCATAAATACTGAGAACGAGAACATGTCTAAATATGAATGTATTGGATCACATGTGTGTATAACATACCCCATTTACCTAAAGCTACACAAGAACGAACAGTTCAAAAGTTTGTCAGACCACCTTTCCTAAGGAGATTTATGTGGCGAGGCATACTGCCTGCCAAGGAAGTCGAGAAAATTACTGCAGCAAATGACGCACCGTGTCGTGACTGACAACGAATCCCTCCTGTATGCATTTCAGATGCATAAGCTTGTAACCACACATTTGTCCTGATTCTCCTACCTCTTTCACTACGAACATAGCAACTTCTACAATATCACTATTATGTCTTCGCCTAAACAGATTCAGTCGTTTTGACTTCCTTTTCAAAGTCTTCATGCTGATAATGATGCCATTTAAATGGGCCAAACAAGACATAATTTCTGAATAGTGCAATCGCAACATCAAACATATTCGTATGCTTCATCCATGACTTCATCCAAGACTTTTTTTCAATAGTATTTATAAGATCCTTAAGTCCAAATTAGGAGATACTAAATCCTGATTAGGAGATATTCAGTCCTAATTAGGAGATATTCAGTCCTAATTAGGAGATATTCAGTCCTAATTAGGAGATATTCAGTCCTAATTAGGAGATGATATGTGACCCTAATACGCTTCAATACCTCACCACCTCTGCCCTCATAAGCATAAAAAGAGACATGTCGACAACGAAGTCAGTGTCAAAATAGGGTAACTGAAATGGTCTAACGCCATTCATGGAAAACTTAGGTTGTGGAACTCGTGTAACTGCTTCATAAGAAAACGATCGATCTGTCAAGTTAGGTATCTATAATTCCGGGTTTGGGTCTCCTGTGTGGATTCTGTATCCACATCTGCTTGTCTGCTATAAGTGGCATTAAGTACAATATGGATTCAGTATGTAAATAACGTCCCAGGGAAACTCTGGGGTGGCTGTATCTCGCTCAGCAAATATATTGCTGTGTATTTCAATAGTCTCGGAGTTGATTTAATGATTAAATATAAATATACTGTTTGTAATAATTGTTATCTCTGTAACCAATGCAGCAAAGCATTCATTCTCACTGAACATCAACACATCTACACCATTAAGTCAACAAAAACACGCTCTCGAATTGCCCAGTCAAATGTGGGTCATGGCTTGGTTAGCGTAGTTATCAAAACATATCATACTGTAGGGGTCATTGTCATGATGTATCACACTGTCAGTGTAGTTATTATGATGTATCACACTGTCAGTGTAGTTATCATGATGTATCACACTGTCAGTGTAGTTATCACGATGTATCACACTGTCAGTGTAGTTATTATGATGTATCACACTGTCAGTGTAGTTATTATGATGTATCACACTGTCAGTGTAGTTATTATGATGTATCACACTGTCAGTGTAGTTATCATGATGTATCACACTGTCAGTGTAGTTATCATGATGTATCACACTGTCAGTGTAGTTATCATGATGTATCACACTGTCAGTGTAGTTATCATGATGTATCACACTGTCAGTGTAGTTATCATGATGTATCACACTGTCAGTGTAGTTATCATGATGTATCACACTGTCAGTGTAGTTATCATGATGTATCACACTGTCAGTATAGTTATTATGATGTATCACACTGTCAGTGTAGTTATCATGATGTATCACACTGTCAGTGTAGTTATCATGATGTATCACACTGTCAGTGTAGTTATCATGATGTATCACACTGTCAGTGTAGTTATCATGATGTATCACACTGTCAGTGTAGTTATTATGATGTATCACACTGTCAGTGTAGTTATTATGATGTATCACACTGTCAGTGTAGTTATCATGATGTATCACACTGTCAGTGTAGTTATCATGATGTATCACACTGTCAGTTATCATGATGTATCACACCTGTCAGTGTAGTTATCATGATGTATCACACTGTCAGTGTAGTTATCATGATGTATCACACTGTCAGTGTAGTTATCATGATGTATCACACTGTCAGTATAGTTATCATGATGTATCACACTGTCAAGTAGTTATCATGATGTATCACACTGTCAGTGTAGTTATCATGATGTATCACACTGTCAGTGTAGTTATCATGATGTATCACACTGTCAGTGTAGTTATCATGATGTATCACACTGTCAGTGTAGTTATCATGATGTATCACACTGTCAGTATAGTTATCATGATGTATCACAC